TATGTTTGTAGTTTAATTTCTAAAAAAATTTTATAATTTTAATGGAAAATTATCAATATGAGTGCATTTGTGTGTACAATTAATTAGTTTCTTATGACAGAAACTGTTTGTCGTCACCCAACTTGATTGATTATTTGATAAAGAAGATCCAAATTGAAAAGTATAGAACAAATATTTATACATGTAACATGTGTATATAATTATGTAAAAGAAGATTGTAAAAGAATTTTGAAATAAAATCGAAAATAACAGAGAATATTTCGAAATTGAATTTAAGTGCCGATAAAATTTTAAAAATTTATTTGTACGTATATAATATGAAAGTGTTAATTTTAAGTCACTGAAATTATTGAGCAATTGAGACTGCATTAAAACAAAGATTATCAATTTTTTCAATTAGATTTTCAAATTTCACAATATTTTGATAATTATATTTTGTAATTTACTTAACAGTCAAATATTTTAATTATAGTGCAATCGAAATTAAACGTTTAAAAGCTTGAGTCAAAACGATTTATTATTATAATGAGAAATTTTTAATAAATTTTTGAAATTTTTGAAATTATTCCGTTTATGTTAGTAGTTAGTCATTGTACACATTCCTATTTGTTAAAATACAAAATTTATTTGGCAAGGGAAGCCGAATGGCAAGCGAATATTATCGATATTTGTCTCCGTCTAAGTAAAGAGTTACCGTTTGTTTGCTTGTTCAAAAAGTGATAAATAGTGTTTTGTAAACAATTTGCTTTGAACGTTTTAAAATGGATGTAGCCAGTTGAGTATTTTTATTTTTCAGCTACGAAATGCGTACGTAAGTACATTTAAAGTAAAATTATTAAAAATTGAATATAAAATTTAGCAAATCATTTTTTTTCAGTCAAATAACTAGTAAATTATAACTGTGAGCGCTGAAAACCATTACAATACTGTAAAAAAGTTCATAGAAACATATATTATAACAAAAACATTATACTAACAGGTACTTTGTCAAATACATTCAAAATTTTTGAAAGGTCGTCGTCATTTTATTTAAATGAGTGGTGAATTTTAACTTTATTTCCTATTTTTTTTTTTCTGTTAACCGGTAATGTTAGTAGATATCTACAGAAAAAGAATGCTTATGAATAAATACTTATAGAAAACATAAAGAAAAAGTCCAATAGTTATTTTAAAAGTTCATTCAATTGTTGTATTTCATTTCGAAATTTGTATATAAATATGTATGAATGTACATGTACATATATGTATGTATTTAAATATTTGTTTGCAAAATGTTTCTTTTCCACTTGTTTTCTACTAACCAGTTTAGCCAAAAAAAAAAAATTATCTACTTATACCAAAAATGAGTTATGTTAGTCAGCAACGTTATAAGTAGAAAAAATTATTCTATTGTATAGATATACAACATATTAAAAAAAGCCACGTTTTGTTTTATTTTGAAATCAGTTTCTTCATTTTAAAAAAATTATCACGATTTTTATCTAAAATGCTTGGAAAAAATTTAATGCTTTAAAACTCAAATGCTTTAAAACAAATAGATTTTAATTGTGAAAAAATCACCCTGAAAACGTTTTCGAAGTAAGTTAATCTCTCATAATCATAACATTTAAAAGATATTTTAAAGCCTTTCTTTTGTACTATGATTCTAAATTTATCATAAAATTTAATTATATACATATCCACAGTATAAAATCGTGTGACCCTTAAATGACACAATGTCTAAGTTCAAGTATTATTTCTGTGCAGATCATTTTGCAAATAAAGATGACTTTTTGTAATGTCATGTGAGCGTGTAACGCAATTGTTCAAAAATAAAACATACTTATTTAAAATTCAATTTTTCTCTCCAATTATATAAAAATGGAAGTGATTATTCATTGAAAAATACACTAATGAAATACGTAATATATCGGACGCTACTAAAATTTTTTATAATTATAATACTGCAGATGTGTTATGACTGTCATATATTCGTGTTCACTACATATAATTTATAATATAATATAAATATGCAAACACAATATTAATATTAAAACAAAAGAAGTCATCCAAAGAGACAAAACAGAAAATTGAAAAGCAAATAGTGTAGGTTTAAATATAAATTTTTTTTACATTTCCACTTTTTTTTTTAGGAAAGAGCGAAAAAAGCGAAGAATCAGAAAAGTAAAGTTTTAGTGTTCAAAAAAGTAAAAAAACTTATGAAACCTGCTTTTTGTTTTTTTTAAAGTAATTTTTTCGTTTTCTTTTATTTTAAATAGTGGCCATGAAGTACTACAGAATGTTTTAAAATTAAAGAAATTAAATTTATTTCAAAATATCAAAATTACTTAATTTTATTATAGGAAATTAATTAATTTTATTAATAAAAATCACATTATCAATTTTTACAAAAATTAAAATAAAACTTACTCCTATTTATCATAGAAAAAATTAAATGTAAAGATTATCAACAAACAAAAATTGGAAAAAAATTTAATAGGAAATAATCAATTAATCAAGGTGGAAAAAAAAGTTGTTAATTCTTACAAGATTTTCTTAAATATTACTTATAAAGAAAATTCTATTTTACATTTATAAAGAAAATACAATATAAATAGCAGTTTTCTTCAAAATGAAAAATAATGATTAAGAAAAAATTCAAATTAGTAACTGGATTGTACTTAATCGGCTTTTTTAAAAAAATATTTCATACAATATTTCATTGCCGAAAATAGGAGAATAAAGCAAATTTCGAACTAAGTGAATATATGTACGTTGAAATCGTCACGTAAAAGAATAAAATGAGCAAATTTTTGATTGCAAATTATTATAAAATTTTAGAACTTTGAAGTTTAAAATTTTTAAGTTCCAGCTTTACAAGCTTCATCTTCAAGAACATTATAATGATTATGTTCTTATGTACCTATGTACTTATACATATGTGTTAACGGTGTTTATGTTATTTTCTTTGTTTGTAATTAAAATTGCTTTCGATTATTTTGGTACCACTTTGTAATCGTGGAATGAATAAACATAATTTTAGTGGTTTTATTTTCCTTTCTTTACCTAAGCTTGCATTAACAAAATGTATATACATACATATGCATATAATGTATATAAAAAATTTTTGTGTAGAATAGGTAAATTATGTACAAAATATAATAAGCAAGTATATGCGTTATAAAGCATGTTGTTGTACATATTATAAGGTGAATAAAAATCAGGTGATGTTTTAGCTTCTCCCTCTGTTCTTTTTTGTTTTCATTACTTATTTTCTTTTACATTAAAACACTTAATATGAATTTCTACATTTTATCATAATACCACATACATACATACATATACTCGTATGTATATACTTTTTTGCGTGAATTTATTTTCAATGTTTTAAATTCTTTTTTCATTTGTCAAAAAAAAAAGAAGAAAAAAACATGGAGAAAACCAATATTTACCCTTATTTTGCACAAAAAATTTTTGATATTACTCATGAGTTATTTTATTGGATTTAAAAAAAATTGTAATTTCTATTCAAATAAGAATTTAGAATTGGTAAATAATAAATAAGTATAAGTAAATAGTAATACATAAACACTTATGAATTTAGCTAATTATAGACTATTTAAATCTATACCTACATAATATATTTTTTTGTTTAAAAATTCTTATTAGGTGCCTTTAAGAGACCGTATTAAATTTTAACTCAGTTATCTTAGCAAAAAATATAATGATTTTTATTTCGTGAGCGCGTTTTCACCAAGATTTATTATTTAATTTTTAGATACAATTAGCAGGTACCTTGTTTGACGTTGTCAAAAAGTAGTTCAATTATTTTTTAATCGAATAAAACTACTACTTAAACATTTTCATTCTTTTTTAAAAAATGTGTTACTAAGTACAGATATACCTATTTTATGTTAATAACACTTACTGATTATTTAAATAAATATGTAGTACCTGCATGCACATTAAAAATAATTATGTAGAAGAAATTAAACAATATGCATAGCTTTTAATTGCATTTAATTATCATGCCTTACTTCAAGTACATGTATACCTACCTAACTACATATCTATATTTCTACATACATATATTTACCAACATACATGTACATACATTTGAATTTTACCTACATATCTAAATAAAATACGAAATTTGTATAAATTTTGTATAAAAGAAATTTTTTTCTTCGGAATTGTATTGGTGAATAATATAATAATAAATAGGTATGTACTACATACAGTGCTCAAATTATAAAATCAACAAGTAAATGAGTAGATATGTAGCTATTTTTAACAAAAATAATGTGTAAACGTACATTTACATATATGTACAGACATCTGTACAGAATTGTATATAATAAAATCAGATTTTTCAGTTTTTTATTTAATAAAAAAGTCAATATTAAAATTTTTTTTTCATACATATTTAAATTAGTTAAAAAAAAAATAAAATAATTTTTGAAAGAAATGAACCCACGGCCACCACCCCTTTCCAAAACCGCACGCGGGAAAGTCTTCTAAAAAGTATTCAAATAATTTTAAAAACTTTTTATTTGATTTTTACAATGCTTACTTACTTATTAGTTTTTTTACATCATTCGGAAGTTTTATACCTAAGTTAAGTATGCATAATATACATACATGTATACATACATACCTATCTCTAAGTATAAATTATTGAATTAAAAATTTTTTTTTTAAAACATTTTAGAAAAAAAAAATAATTAAGTTATTTTGTACCTACTTAGATTGAAAAATTACGATAAAATAATTAAGGTGTAGCTATTGTTAAAATTACGATAAAATTACATATGTATATTATTAAATTTATGAAAATATAAGTAACAATGCGATCACTTGTATTTTGATGATTATTCCAACCTATATAGGAAAATTTTACTTTTATGATAATAGATGGAATCCTCTCTTTTCTCTATACATACATATAGGCACTTTTATATTCACAATAATATTTTTACTTGTACGATGTACAATATTAAATCTTAATCATTTTATCTTACCTGCTATTGTAAAACGATCCATATAGTTAATTAAATTGACAAAACATAATACTCCAACTGTAAACCATTGTTTTGAATTTGATGAACTTGTTAATGTGGTTGTATTACCCCTAACAGGATTAGTTCCGGTTGTTATTACACTATCTGAATCAATGTTATTCATTAGGGCTTGTGATGAATATGAATTTGGTATATTTCTAGTAGCATCATTTCCTATTGAAGACGTTCGGGATGAATGCCCACTATCACTATTTTCTTTATTCATTGCAATTGGCATATAATTAAATTTTTTTTGATTAGACATTCAAAAAACACTCTTTAAAATTTTATTTATAATATAAAAAAATCTTTCGTTTTTTTATTCAAAAAAATATATATAAAAATAAAAATTAACAAACACTTTTTATGCCTTTAAGTTTAAAATTTTATTATTAGAGAACAAAAGGCATAAATATTTATTTATTTTTTACAACAATAATCTTTTATATATTCCTTATTAGAAAAGACAACTTCTTTTATTGAATACTGCTTTTATCGCGAACTCAAAACAAAATGCAACCGAAACCTTTTCAGTTTTCTTTTAATCTGATTTGATTGTCTTACATTTGTCAATGGAATTTCAAATTTGACTTTTAAAGTTTTAAAAGCAAAACGTAACTAAATGTTACCAGATTTTCAAAATTAAAGACATATTTTTAGGCTATTTTTAAAATAACTACGACAAATTAAAGTGCAGTTTTCGACAATGTCATCAAGAACTATCTATTTAATTTTTTGACAAGTTTTATTATTAATTTTAGCATATACTTTAACGTCATAATGTAACTTTGAAACAGAATATAAGTCATAGAATAACAGTTATCAAGTTATTATAAGACTGTGTCTCGTGGCTCATTAATTTTAAAGCTACATTCATTAATTTATATGAATTCAATAATTTCTGCATTTTTAACGCAGTTTTTTTCATCGCTCTCAAAAAGTTGAATCAAATTTAATTTTATTGCGAAAAGTAAACTTTTTCATTAGTTTATAAGTTGAACTACTACAATTATATAGTGTTTTTATCAAATAAAATTATAAAAACAATTCTCTCAATTTATATTGAACTGACGAACCAAAAAAAAATAACGTAAGATATTGCTTATACGAGTATACGCGACAAAATATTAAATTAAATCTACAATAAAGTTTCATGTTGGTTTATTTACCAGACTGAAATTTAATTACAGGCTTAACTTCAAAATACAATAACTTTACTATGAAAATTATGTTTAACAAAGACCAAAATCAGCTGATCGCTGTTCCAAACTGTCACATAAAATTAATTGTTGGGTTTACATATATGACTCTCATCATTCTCGGATTATATGTAAATTAATAGATTTCAAAAGTTTTATTTTTTTATTTCATCAGAAAATAATTTTATAATATTATTGGAGCATTTCTTTATAAAGTTAAATGACTTAATAGAGTATAAAAATTTAAAACGCCGTGCTAGGGGTGCGTTCAGATTTTTTAAACATGTGATAAATTAGCATGTATTAATGTCAAACCGAAAAGCGGCGCCATTTCAAAATGTCTATTACAGACGCCTATTTTGACAGCTCTCATCGATTAATCAAGTCAGAAATTATCGCCGAAAAGTATTTATCAAGCAAATCAATTTTTTTTTTCTGTAACGTAATCGATTTTCTTCGATTAATAATTGGTCGATTCAATAACATTTTATGGAATTAAATTCTACCGTTAATAAAACTCAATTCGAGTTGGAAATAAATATGATGAACGAACTGGATAATAGAAGACGTTCAAGAAAAGCATCGAAAGCTGATAACATCAAGCTGATGCGTGCCATGAATTATACCAAAGTTTTGACACCAAAAAACATGAAATCTGAAGTTTGGGGTTATTTTGGCTTTCCCGGCAATGAAAATAACGATATTGTTACCAAAAATGTTTTAATTTGCACAATTTGTTACGTTATGTTCAGAAATAACAGGTAACCTTAATCATAATACAGACAACCTATTGAAATATGTACATATAAATGTGTGTATGTAGCTGTTATTTTACATCTCCATATTTTTGTTTTAGAAATACGACAAATTTAAGGATGCATTTGGAAAGAGTGCATAAAGTGGATCTTGGCTTATCTAGAAATAATCCCAAAAGCACCGATTCATTTGAAAACAATGATTCTGAACTTTACCCAGCTTCACCATCATCTTTATCTCCTAAATCAAAACAATCAAAACCAAAAATGAAAATATACCGAGCCAATGATTTACCAGATTATAAAAGTGAAGGAACTTTCGATCCATTGATGGAAAATTCAATGGATGTCGATAATTCTCCCATATTTCCAGATCATGACAATACTTTTCCAGTTATACCGAAAAAGGAAATTACTGAGCCAATCCGACATTCCTTACAGCCCTCCGATTTGATAGAGGAATCCACATGTATATTGGAATTAGGAAGAAATATAAAAGAAAAGCCATTAGGAATTATTACATTACTGAGAAATATGATTATCACAGATCTGATGCCCCCGTGTAGCATAGAAAATGAAGGTTTTCGTAGGTTAATTCAAAATTTAACAAAATCTAGCATACCCACAAGAAATGATATTGAAAACGAAATTCGATCTCTATACGAAACAAAATTAAAAGATTTAATTTTTGAACTCAAATATATAACAAATAAAAATCCGTATTCTTTGAGCTATGAAATATGGGAAAGTGTCGAAAACACAGTTTTTATAACATTTTACGTTCATTACTTAACATTGAATGGTACAAAAGAAACGTTGAAGGAAGTCCTGTTTAAAACTTTAAAATTAACAAATTACACAAATTTTGACGAACTCTTTGAACATATAAATTTGAAAAATTGTGCTGGAATTATAGCTGCTTACAGCACTGATTCAATTGAAGTTTTCTTTTCGAAAAAAAGTATGTATTTTGTTATTTATTTTCTTTGTATAAAATTAATAATTTATTAATACAACGTTAGAAATTCCGATTTTGCCATGCTTTGAATGTATTGTGAAAAATGCAATAAATAAAGTTCTCAGTTTGCCAAGTGTAGAAAATGTCTATGCCGAAATCAAGGAAACATTGCAGGATTTTTTAACTAATCACGTAAAATCGAAAAATTGTTTAAATAATTTTTTTTTATTTAATTGGCGTTTTTTTTAGGAAATAGAAACTCCTTGCGAAAATCGAAATATGACATGGGCTAAATATAATATAATAAAATTTTTTGTTGAAAATGTAGTTTGGCCAGATGATCCCAACAATGAATTACTTCCTAAAGCTAAAAATATACTTGATATTATATCGCCCTTAAAAGTGAGTACAAATTATGAGGTTAATTTTAATTGCAAATCCCTTTCTAATTTCAGATAACTATAGATTCTTTGGCAGAAGAACCCGATGCACTTAATTCTGTCTCAAAGCCTTTGGCAATGCAATTAGTCGACAACCATTTTCGTGCAAATGATGATGATACACAAATAGCAGCTGAAATTAAAGAAATCGTATATGTCGAATTGGCAAACAAGTAACAATTCAGAGTATTTTTTTTCTAATAAAAATTTAATTATAATTTTTTTCAGTATTTTATCAAATGAAATGTTTACTGTGACAGCGTTTTTGGATCCTAGATTTCGACAATATCTCGGAGAAGATGCTTATCCCACTGCAAAACACTATCTTTTGGATAAAGCCAAAGAACTTAATATAGTTTCATGTGCAGATAAAAATAATGATACAAACACTAATGAGAGTGTCAATCAAGATGATTTAAATAGTTCCCAGAAAAAAGGTAAGAAATGTGATTATGATGTTAAGTATGGTGCTGTTATAAAATTTATTTAAAAAAAAATATTTTTAGGCTTAAAACAACTTTTTGTAAAAAAGGATTTACTAGTTAAAACTAATGTTGTTACAAACGAAAGTTTTGAAAATGATTTAAAAAAATATTCACTTAATGCCAGTGCTGATTTGGATGAATCACCTTTAGAATGGTGGAATCGTTATGGGTATTCTTATGGAAATTTAAAAAAGGTTGCCAATATTTACAATTCGATGCCTTGTTTATGCAACAAAGTTTCATTAAAGTCTATTGAAAAACAGATTGAATTTGAAGATAAAAAATTGAATTTAAGAGGAAATTTAATTAATGAGATTTTGTTTTTGAATTATAACTATGATGCTGGAAATTTCTCATAAATAATCGTTTATTTTCACATACGAGTATGTATTCTTACTAAAAATTTCTATCATTTTTTTTTTACTTATGGAAAAATTCATACCTGTTTTAATTATGTAAAAATTTATAAAAGTATGTTTGCTATACTTGTAATTTTGAATCTTATAACAATAAAAAAATGTAAACCTATTTTCAAGATTGTTCAAAATTAAGAAAATAACAGAATTGTAAAAAAACTTACACTCATTACTTTTAATGAAATCCAGAAACTTTAAATTTTTCTAAATAATCTTTTAAAATAGCGGGAAACATCGCAAACACCTTAAAACGGCTACCCATTTTTTCCGGATTTGTTAACATGTCGTAACCAGTTATTATTTCTTGCTTCTGTTCTGGTGAACAGCGTTCTAATAAAATCTATTCGCATTAAAAAACAAAGTTTTTACTGTATTCTTCTTTATGTGTAGTGGCAAAAAAAGAAATATACAAGTTGGTAAATTCACACTTACATTTAATCGCGTATCACCTTCCATTCTCTTTATGAATATTCCTTGATCTACTGGACCGAAGGTAATTAATTTGCCGTCTTTCTCCGCGTGATGTTTAATGTGAGTGAAATCGACATCAGCAGTTAAATCAGCCGTTCCGGGATCATCTAAAGGATTATGTAACTTGTGATTCTTAAAAGCTCTAAAAGTATCAGTTTTTTCGCCAAAATGGCCGTAATCTATTATTAAGGCTATTCCACCATAACTTTCTAAACGTGTTGCTAAAAGTTCAATTATTTTTGCACCTTCAAATGAATATTCTACACAATCGCGTTCATCATTTTTTATATGTTGATAAAATTTTGAATGAGGCGTTTGTGATTTGGATATTACAAAACGTAGTTTATTTTGGTTGGAGTTATCTAGGTCAATTAATATTTCTTTCCATACATTAACATCTTTTTGAAATTTATGAATTGGTAAGGCATCGAAGAATTCATTTGCTAGAACTATAGAAAATTTTTTGGGCACATCTTCCAATTTTTTGTACCAAAATACTTTAATTCCCGTAGCAGTTTCCCCTTTCCTATAAAACAAATCATTAGTTTTAGTTTGATCCACTTCTTCGTGTTGATAACATATCGACTGGGCCTGGACGTTACTCAAAAATGGACTTAGCTCAATCAAATGAAGAGAAACTTCTGCCTTTAATTTGAAATGACCCAAAACTTTGATAACATCACGGGCTAAAGTTCCTCTACCAGGACCTAGTTCTATTATTTGTAAGGGTGATGGCGTTCCAATTTTTTGCCATTCATTAATGCACCAAATTGTTATTAACTAAAACAAAAATTTCTGAATACATATCTTGCTTTAGTTTTAATAAATAACAATTAACTTCTCCAAATATTTGTAAAATTTCAGGGGAAGTGATGAAATCACCTTGTACACCAAAAACATCTCTTTGCATATAATACCCACCGGTTGGATTTGTTAAAACTTCTTTCATATAATCTAAAATTTAAGTGTATGTACTCTGCTTTTGTGTACATATTTTGTTCATATTTTCCAATTCAAATTATATTTACCAGCAACTGTTATTGGACCTGTTGCTAATATCTTTGCTTGTAATTGGCCAGTTAACGAAGTTGCTTTTTCCAATGTCTCCTTTTTTGGTGAAGCGGTTTTCTTTGGCGTTTTATTTATATCTGGTCGTTTGATAGTCTTATACGCATAGGTTCTATAAAGTGGAAAATTTTTTATGTAACTTTTAAGAACCTGTTGTCCTGTATACATTTTTTGCTTTTTTACTTTTTATTTGTTATATTCTAACTTAACACTTTCTATATTTCGTTGTAATACAGGCTGTTGCCTAACATTTAAAAACCTATTGTAAACAAAATGTATGTATGTATGTATGTATTTATATATGTACCTACATGTGTTACCGATATTAATAGATCACTGTTACAAAATCGAATTTGAAGTTCAATAATTCTTCTAATTGCAAAATCGTATATGTAAATACAGATAATTTTATGTAATTTTAAATATTTAAATTCAATGTACATACATACATACATATTCCCATATAAGCACAATAAATAATTGTGCTGTTCTGATAATTATGTAACGCTGAAATTATTTTTTTCACACTCTGAAAGCATTTTGTAAAATTTTTTTGGAAGCATTATGTATTGTCAATTTCTATAGGAAGAACAGGAATTGGTGTAAAATCTGCTAGATATTTAAACATGGTTGACAGAAAAATTTGTTTTTAATAGAAATATTTTTATAATGTCCAAGGTGTTAGTCTCACATAAAATATTTTTTATTATTGTATACGAACTGCCGAAATATTTTTTTTTTGACGCATAGTTCGCATAATGCGAATGGTTTTCAGTTTAAATGAAATTTGCAAGTTGTTTAATAACGTTATATTATCAAAATTCTTGATGAACAAATTTATTATCAGTACCCTTTATATCTGACAAATATGTATATGATTGTGATATATTTATTGTTATAAGGATCTTGCCCCGACAATTTGTTTTTATAAATCGTTATTAAGATTAAGAAAAAATGCTTAAAAATAGGTTCTTCCTCGTGAAGGGGGCTATTCTATTTGTTTATTTCACAGAAATCACAGAACCGTGATTTTATTGAATAAAAAATTACAGAAAAATCCATATAAAATGTTTGCTACACCTTAGTGTATAAAATAAAAAAAAAAGCGGATGTAAGATAATTCAATGGTTAAAAGATAATAAGCCACGAGACTAGATGTAATTTCAACAAAAAACAATACAGACATATACATATATAATTATTTCATTATATATTAATTATCATTGAATATATTTTGACAACGTCAAAATATATATTAAATGCTAATGTTTGAAGAAAAAACGAAATCTTTTCACGAAAAAACTTCGCTGTAGATTTCTTATGCTAAAAAGTGCCATTTCTGATTTCTATAAGAACGTGTGAAATAGCTATTGATTAATAAATTGACAGCCACACTGAGTGTACAAGGCTGTATTTATTGTCAGTCGTGACATACTGAAGTATTTTATAAACTTTATTTAGATTTGTTCAAGAACAAAATATAAGGTCTGTTTAATACGCCTTTGGGTTAAAGAAAGTATAAAATTATTTTTATTTTGGAAAAATGACAACATGGGTAAGCAAAAAAATTTTTGATTGTTTGTATAAATCAGGGACTTATTTGCGAAACGAACATAATTAGCTCTGAAGTTTTTGCTTTTAATAAAATGTTACAATTTCTTTGTTGTCATTTTAGGATAATGAAGATTTTGAAAATTTTATTGAATTTCTCAAAGAAAGGGAATATCTGTATAATCGAAATCATCACGACTATAAAATTTATACTGTTGTGAAAGAATGTTCTCAATTTGGGAGTTCTTTGAATCCGCCGAGAACTAGTAATATTGCTGAAAACCATTGTAAATTTTTAAAATTGTATTTTTGAATATTTTTCAAGGTAAAGAAGTTTTGGATAAAATAACTGCGATTCGTAAAGATGTTAGAATAATTAAACAAATAGTAGCAGATCAATCTAGTGAATATAATATAACTGACACCGAAAAATTTAAAGAAACTGCTTTAACTTTAAAGTTTATGTACTCAGCTTTATTTGGAAAAAATCCCAAAGCAATAGCAAACTTAGATTCATTTCTCGGAAAAACTTTGAAAAGAAAATCAACTAAAGAAGATGAATCAAAGTCAAAAAAGCAACGCAAATATCAAACAATCGATGAAGATAGAGAGACAAACACATACGAATGTAAGCTAAATATTTAAAGTAAAAGTAATTTAAATTTGACTTTGTGGCAATATATTTCTAGGCATAGAAATTCTTAAAGATGGAGAAGAATATCTTGAAGAAATTACTGATTCAAATCAAAAAAATTATCTTATAGAAAATCAGGTAGATAGCCTGTACTATGTAACTTTGACAATATTTTGTAATTTTGTTTTATTAACACAAAATTTAGGTATACCATGACGCAAAAAAAAGTTTCACGATAAGTGATACTGACACAGATCTAATGATAGATAGCATCAGTACAATTGAAGAATCTGCAGAACAAAACCATGAGAGCTTAGATTTAGGACATATAGAAATTACCATTGATCAAGGAATAGATGTTTTCCATGCAGATAAAATCGAGAACGAAGATGTGTTTTTGAGAATCATAGATTTTATTCAAAGCAAACCCTATTATTATAAAAAAGATTCAGACTTATATGAAAACATCGAGTTGAAAGAAAAAGAATTATATGATTTTGGAAGAACATTTGAGCCACCTATGTCAAGTTAGCAGAAAATTTATGAAAACTTATATAATATTGTAATCTTAAATTATCTTTAATTTTTTATATATCCTTAATTTTTTTAGGTAAGAAACTGATGGTTATGATAGAAGACATTGTGAAAAAATTTCATAACTCAATCGAAAAGCCTGACAGTGAAAAATGGAATTTGTTTAACCAATGCAAGTTTCTCTTAAGTGACACAAGAAATAACGTAGATAATATAAAAAACGATATTAAATACATCCCAAAAAAGGTAAGTGTATTAATACATAACATGCAATTAGAGTTTGCATTATTTATTATTTTGAAGAACACGGAAGCTAAGAGAACTATAAAAGAAGATGTGAAGTTATTGTTTGATGTTGTAACTTTTATTGAAGATAATACCTGCTTCTACGATGAACATGATGAAGATTTTTACAACTTTAGTAAAAAAGCCGACATGATAGACCGATTTAAATCCGCTTTGCAATGTAAATATAGTGAACGTGATATAGAAAAGAAGTTAGAGTATGTTCAAGAACGTATAAACAAACAAAAAAATAATAAATTTGGTGGTAAATGTATAGAAATTTTGGAATATGTACTTAATATTCAATACTATTTTAAAATTTTAGAAAACTTTGTTTTTGTCCAAGATTCTTTTGAAAAGTTACAGAATGTTGAAGAAACAAATATGCAAAGAAAAGATTCATTACCATTAATTAACGAAGATAATAGAGATCCAAAGAAAAAGACAGCTACCCATTGTGTGGCATCTGTGCAGTGCAATTTATATGAAGAACATTTGGAACAAAAGATTAGAGAGCTGGCTGCAACAAATCGTAACTGCAATTGCATTGGAGATTTACTTCATTCTTTATTTCAAAATGAGGAAAAAAATGTTTCTGATGCAGTATTTTCAGTATAAATACAAATTTTAATTTGCGACATAAATTCTAAAATAATAAACTTTCAGGATACCTTCCAAGAAGCATGTAAGACTGAATTGGATAATTCAATTAAAGAGGAAATTGATGAAGATAACCAAATCGGCAATTTCCTAATTGAAGTCGATTTTCCAGATTTTTCTGATATTTCAAGTGATGATGGTTTAGTCGAAATTCCTTTTGAGGAATTCATTCCACAAATAAAACCAAACAAACTACCAAATGGAAAATATTCTTGCGAAGAATGTAATGCAACGTTTGATGACTATGCACATCTTAAGGCACATGACCAAATTCACGGAGAAAAATCGCTTGTATGTTATAAATGTGGGAAAGTTAATAAATATTATAGGAAATTACGCTTACATGAAAATAACTGCAATCCGGAAGGCAACAAGAATTGTTATGAATGCAATGTTATATTCAAAAATCATTTAAATTACTATGATCATCAAAATCAATATCACACGAAATCGAACCCTTATATTTGCGTTTGCCGACAAGCTTTTACATCATACAACAAAATTATAACTCATTTAAATAGAAGCGACTGCGGTGCTATAGATGATTGTGTCTTACCAGAATATGTAACAAAGCATTTTGTAAAAGGTTTTCTTGAACAGAAATATGAGGATGAAGATGAGTTTGTTAAAACAATGGAAAAAACTAAATTTTGGTGCAAAATTTGTAAAAGAAATTACGTTCGCAATGATGTTTACACGTAAGTAAAACAAATTTTATAATTTTAAGATTAGAGAAAATATTTCTTTATAACATTTTGAAGTAGTTAAGTATATTTTTCAAAGCCACATTAATACAATAATATAGTTGCTAAATTTACAACTATAAAATTACAATAGAAAATACAAGCCATTAAGCGTTTTAGTTTTACATCTTTATATTTTAATGATGAAATATAAATGCATTTTAAATTAACACAGCGATTGCTTCAAAGAATTTGTGCTTAAAACCTAAAATTTATTTCGAAAAATTCAATTTCAATTTCGATGTTTTTGGAACATGTCTTATTGTTAAAGACAACCTTTTTTTACGGCAAAGTCTATCTCCATATTTATAAGAAAGCTCACAATTTTCTAAATTAACTATTGATTCGTTAATAAAGTCATCACTAACTTCATCTATGGAATGCATATAATCTGTATATAAATTATCCTTCAAAATTAATAAGCTTCTTGGTTCAATAAGTAGTTTAAAACTTTTATTTTCTGGTTCCACTTCTTGTTCATCAAGATTACAATTAGGTTTTTGTGAATGATTTTTTATGTTTTGCCTTACAAATTCCAAAATAGTGTATGACCCACAAGAAATCGTACTTATTATTGGATAAAATAAAGGTCCATCTGTATGGGGCATTATTCCTTCGCCAGGATTATATTCATTTATCAAAACATGATTAGCTTTCTTAGTTTCAAAAATATTTAGATTATTTACTTTCTCTACAAAGTTATTTAGCCATTTCGGTATTTCTTCTGCAATCATTCCATTTGCGTGAGGCACTCCACCATAGTTTATTAAACGCCTATGAGATAGTTGTGTCCATTTTGGTTTTGGTGTTTTTTCTATATTTGCTATTATGTTTTGTTCTTCATCTAATGTAATGAAATTTGGAATATACATCGCTGTTTTTGGACAATTTCGTACCAAAAAATTTGACAAATCCATTTCTTTTTCAATGTTTATAAAATACTTGGAAGGAGTTTTTGTTTTACATACGAAAAAAAGAAAACAAACTTCATAAATAACATTGTCAAATAAATTAAAAATATTAGATTACTTTTGCATTTTTGACGTCTAGGTTGACACTTCAAAACATAAAAAAATTTTCGTTCATATTATGCAAAGGTTGAATGATTCCCTGCCACTGTGCGGATATTTTTAGCACTGCTTGAACAACGTTAAAAAGTTTAAACTTTCGACAAATTTAGGAAATTAGATTCTGGAAAACCAAATGAAAATCTCTTTATTAATTATTATAAAGTAGATATTGAAAAAATTGTTTAATTAATATTGAATATTAATTAAGTGTATCGGACTTAAATATTAAGCATTAAAATAATAATAACATTTAAACGATAAGTTCGATATAACATTTTAAGCATCGAGGGAATCTCAGCAAATTTGCATAGATATTCCGCTGAAAATGTGATGACACTATAAGTTATATAGGGCGATAAAATTATTAAATAATTTTTTAACTTTTTATATATATTTTACTAAAACAGAAAATTATCAACCTGTTAGAAAATTATTTGCAGCTTTTACTTTTAATACAGTCGTTAAAATTTAGTTGGGGAATATTTCTACCGAAAAATACGGGTGTATGATTATGCTTATTCTGCTTTGGAAAGTTTATAGAAAAAATTTATTTTTGTAAACAATATTGGGTATACTTTTACATACATAAATAATGTTTAACTTACGAGAAACTTTCTTACTCATAGATAAAATATACTTTATTTTATTCATTTTAGAAAACATTTTACAAGACAATTTCATCTGAATGCAGAGAGAGAATGGCTGAAGAATTTTAACATTGAAAAAATATTTGCTTGTGACTACTGTAATAATGGAGACGAGCCCACAACGTTCAAAAATTTACATCAGTTAGTTGTTCACCGACATGCAGCTCACCATAAATGTACCTTAAAAGACTTTTTTGAAGAGATGGAAAATATAGCTTCAAGTGAAAAACCTTTAGAATTACCATTCGAAATATCACTTGTTTCTCTTGTTTGTAGAATTTGTGATTCGAAATATGATATGAATTTGTACGCAAAACATTTTAGAAGTAAAGAACATCAAAAACATGAAAGAAGCTGGTTAATAAATCATAACATAAAATTATTTGCATGTGATATATGTTCTGAAGAATTTGATCGTTTAATTGCTTATTTAGAACACAAACATGAGTTTCATTTGGAATGGCCTACAAACAAATTACTTAAAGAAATTGAAGGAATTGATATTGAATTGATTGGAAAAAAATATTATAAATATTACTGTTCTATTTGTGATTATAAAACAAATAACAGAAGATTTTACGCAAATCATATTTTGATTCATGGTTCACATTATAAATGTGCTTGTGGCAAAACATACAAGACGCATGAAAAATTTACATCTCACCGACTTTATACAAAATGTTCTAACAATGGGTGTATAAGATTTAGTTCAAAAAATGTTTTTAAATATTTAAATTAATGGAAGATAAAAAATAATTATAGAATATAAGCGCAAAAATTTACTCAAAAATTTTGACTTAATTTGAAGTTATTAAATCAATTTGAATTATGTAATAAGCTTTTCATTCAAACTTGAAACTTGTAATTTATTCCACAAACAATATTAATCAACCTTAGTCAAATTTCCAGGATAAAATCTGATATCCATAAACTAACTTTATTTTCTTATACATATTACATTTAAATATGCACTTAATTAATATTTACATATGCTAAAAATATTTCTACTTAAATTTAAGTATAACGTATTTTTTACCTGTAATATTAATACAAAAATTAAGTTTAAATAACCTGAGGCTCAATATTGCTCACAGTTTTGGTAACAACATCTTCTGCAGATTCAGAAAAAGTCTCCGGAATTTCGCTATTTTTTATATCTTTTAACACTATTTCATCCGTTTTTACATTTTTAATTTCACTTGACTTTTCGTTGTTTTCACCATCTAAAAATTTATCCCAATTTGATAACCTGTCTTGCTTTTCATTTGTTGTTTCATCAATTTTATATCTTGTTTTGCCATCCCATATTTCGGCAACTAACCTTCGTTTTCCATAAAATCTTCTATTCATTAATTGAACAACTAAATCCGCTTCTTCAGGACACGACATAGATATGGACGCTATACCATCTGGGTGGCGATCATATATAATTACTTTTCTAACGTTACCGCATTTTTTACACTCCTCCCTGAGGTCGTTTTGGTACTCTAAAATTAATTCAACGTTTTCGTTGAAAATTTGTGGGTCGAAAAGGTTTTTCAGTACAACAACTCGCTCATGCTTAGACCTTTCGCCGCGCATTTTATCTGGCCGCCAATCCAAAAGTTTTTCTTTTAATTTCGCTAATTTTTGCTTATCTTTTTTTTTCTTTTTTGGTTTTAAAGCCGGATTGTACTCGCCTCGCATTTCGAACTTTGCTCTTTGAACGTTTATTTGCTTTCCGCGAACATCGTATCCATCAAGGATTTTCAAAGCTAAATCAACTGATTCTACCTTAATATAATCGCATAAGCCATCGCCTTTCAAAATTCCGTTTGAATCAACATATAGTTTGATTTTAAACTTTTGTGTATTTTGGTCTTTCATTATCAAACCGCACTTACTCATTACATCAATGAATTCCTGTTCAGTTATATCTAGAGGAAGATTTGAAACATACACTTTCGTATTTTGTTCTGGGGTAATATCAAACCACTTTGGTGGTTCTGGTGCTTTGCGCTTCTTATTTTGTTCCACTTTTTCTGTAGTTTTCGATTCTTTATCTTGTTTCTAATCATAAGAATTTATTTTTTATATTTTAAATGATACTATAATAACTTACTTACCTTATTTTGACTTTTTTCAGCTATATTTTCCTTGATTGATATTGGAATCTTAAATCCATCTTCGTCAACAACTTTCCGATTTTGATTACCATCTTTATCAAAGCCATAATTAAGTTGATAAATAGCCATGAAATCGTCATCAATTTTTGGAAACCATGCTTTTTTACTCTCGTCATAAAAAAATACGGTACCATCTTCGTCTTTGTACGTGTGAAAGCCATCAACAAATGAATACTGCACATTTGTTTGAGTTTTAGGTATCCATTGGTTCGTTTCGAAACACCATCGATAGTGTTCATTTTCGTATGGATTTGTTTTAATTGTATCATCTTCAATTTGTTCCCAACTGTTAGTACTATCGGAAAATTTATATTTTATCTTTGTTTTGGGATCAACAAATATCGCCGATCCATCCTCCTGGTAAGAAATATGTTCAGCGTAATCGTCATTTGAAAATTGTTCGTCTTTTTCAAAATTTTGTTCATAAGCTTTATGCTCTGAAATATCTTTGTCCGTGTCTTTTTTTTTCCCTAAAAATTCGCTGGCAGTGTTTACTGATTCATTTATTTCATGACCTAAGCTTTTGTTTGTGTTATCATCTTTGATATCTTTTTTGACTTCAAGAGAACATTCTTGTTTGTTTTGTGTTTCTAAATTGCTGCAAAGTCCTCCCGTACCGTTTTCCTCTGTAATTAATTTGCTTTCTGGCTTTTTGTTATCATCTCTGCTGGCAGATCTTTCAGATACCATGATTGTGTTAGCTCCTAAGCTATCATTGCCATTTATATTATTATCTGAATTCTGTGCTAATGTCCCTTTTTTATTCTGAACACAAATCTCTTCTTCATTTTCTTGTTCCGTTGTACCTTTTTCCAAACTCGTCATTGTTTTCAGCTTTAGAGTCCACGCTCAAATTAAGCCTTGTATATACATATAATATCATCTAATGTTTTTTTATAGAGTAATTTAAAAGTGCTCTTTAAATTTGCCTAAGAGAACAAGCAGAAATATTCTGTAATTTAGTTTCGTATATGTTCCTTGAAATTCTATCTTCGTTTTGCAATAATGTGATTGTTCCGTAGATCAGATATTAACAACTTTAAGTAAAAACAACGAATGTCGAATAGTAACGTTTAAGTAATGTCAAAATAGCATTAATTTTAGCCTCGTTCACCAATTGACATTATGATGAATATTTACGTAATGCAGCAATATATTGTTATTGTTAGCTTTCGTTCCCATAATGGGATACAAAATTGTTTCATTTCAACAGTATTTTTTCAAATAAGACTTTAATTAACGCAAATTTTTATAGCACATTAGCAAAACGTGTTGTTTTTTTTAACTTTGGAACATTCTTTATGCCACACTTCACAGTAGTCACGGTAGAAAATAAAAAAAGTCAAAAAATTATATAAATGATAATTTAATTTTTATTGCTTCCGAGAGAATCGAAATTTTTAAAAGAAAAAGTTTCTAACTCGATTAATATGTACTATTTTATTTATAGTACACACATTATGTTTTTAATATTATATTATAGAGAAATTCAGAAAATTCAAATAACTTGTGGGACCTTTTATTTCATTGCGATATCTTTATTTATAACAAAATAAGAAGTTTTTTTGCTCTCCTGAAAATTTGTGTTTTTGAGATACAATAGTTACATCCGGAACCGTCAAACTAATTATTAATGCGAATTCGAAAACTTTTGAAAAATTGCTCTTCAGCTTGTAATTTAATGTTTTAAAATTATTTTTCTTACACGACAACTCATAATTTGATGTCAATTTCGACATCACATATATGTCAAGCTGCTATAGCATAATCGTTTGCCTGTACAAAAAAGGAAAATTAAATTGTGAATGGCGTCAAAAGTTTGGAAGTTTTGTTAAAAAAAATCATTAAATTTAAAACAAATTTTTATAATTGAAAATAAGTGAAAAATTAGAAAAAAAAAAAAGATTGTATAACTTTAATATATAAAAATATTATGAACGGATTGAACGAAATGGTAAGATGTAAACTTAAATTTTTTAAAAAAATTTTGTAGGTTTGTGAAGGAAAATTGGTGAAAAAATATGGCGGCCTTCATGATATAGTGTAAGAAAAAAAATGTAAAAATTTTTATGGCTTAAGGAATGAAAAAGTTTTGATTCATTAGAAATTCAAAATTTACTAAATATTGAAAGTTATTAAAAATAATTGAAATCAAATTTGAATACTGAATGAATGAATTTTTTAAAGGAGTGGTTTGGGTGGGGGGATTTTGTAATATGTGTCTACATATTATGTATAACTACTTATATGCATTATGATTTATCTACATAATATATGTATAATAATATGTAAAAGAAAGTGTGTATATGTACTTTAAGTTAATATATTAATATATTAAGTTAGCATACATACATTTATGGATGGGCATAAATAGGATATCGATGTTCGTATAGATATGTGTAATATGTAGCAACACAACACACAATAGATATATGTGTATCTATCTACCTATCTAGCTACGAGTATTTACTTGGAACCCAACTTTTTGTTAGTTTTAATTACGTGCCTACCTATAATGTTTAACTCTAGTTTATTTTGTGTATTAAAATTTTTTCTCTAGTTCCAAATATAAAATCTATGTACTAAATATAAAATTTATTTTAGGGAGCTAATGATAATGGTGAAAATCAAACTTCATATGAAGAGCCTTACGGTATAGATAAACATTCTCCAAGTAAACGTGCTAAATTGGAAACAGGTAATTAAAATTAAATGAAATGTTTTGAAATGTTTTTGATTTTCGTGTAAATAATTATTTTTTTCATAAGGTTTTTTTTTATATATTTTTGAAGATGGAAATGTTTAAAAAGATATATTTCATATATTTTTTTTATACAAAATGTTGATAACATAAAATCATAAGTATGTTATTTATATACATATAAAATTGTAAAATTAAGAATAATTTTTTTTTTTAATTTAAAAAACTAATGTCGCGGTTTTTTATTTTTTTCTCTCTTCTATTTTCTCTGCTTGAATTAATTGCAGAAGCATGATGATGTCAGGTGAGACACACGAGACCTATGAAAAACTCTCTGATGATACACGATTCTAACCATAGTATGTGTATATAAGTAAAAAAATATTCAATTAAAAAAAATAATTAAAAACATCTTAAAAGTCCAAACATAAGTTAGAAGTTTTAAAGTTTTAATGTGAAAAATCAAACTTTGTTTTGTTTTCTTTTCGCATATAAAAGATTTTATTTTTTGATATTAATTTGGAAATTTACACTTACTAAAAAAAATCCTTTTATTTATACACCATTCATTTGGTTCAAAATATGTCTCTTAACTGAAGTTAATGTCTTGTCCCAAGAACAAATTCAAAATTAATATTATTAAAATCAGCATTACGTATTTAAATAACTAATCAAATATTTTTGGCATGTAACGCTATTAAATTATTTTCTCTTCTATATTTTCTTAAATATTTTTAATATTTTTAATTCAATTCAAAATTTAATGTGCAATGCATTAAAATATACAAATATAAATATTTATGTAGCAGTGTAAAAAAAGGAATTGCCTGTTTTGTTTACAAACTTAACATTTTTTTAAGATATAGTAAGGTTTCCGTATTTTCAATTATTTTATAATTCACATTTAAACTTTAAACTTCTTGTATTTAAATCAGTTTACTCTTTCAAAATTTTTTGAATTTTTATAAAAAAAAAAATATTTTGAAATATTTTTTAAGGGTAAATTTAATATAAATGTATACATAATAGGTAATTTTTGTGTTTCTATAACTATTAAACAGAAAAAAGAAGAAAAACGTATTATTATATAATATTTTAGTTCAAAAAAGAATAATAGTTAATTTTTCAAGCACAGTATCTATCTACTTTAATTCTACTTATTTATATATATTTAACAAAAAAAAAAAACTTAAAAAAAAAGACAAAACTCAATGATTTTTTTTTCTTTTTTTTTATCTATTTTTTTAAGTTCTTGTCAGAGATGAATCGATATTTATAATAAAAACTTGCGAATGTATGTTGTATCGAATGTGCGAATCCCTGAATGCACATTAGTAATGGGTCTGCGCAAATTCATTAAAAAAAATTAAATTTATAATTATATTACTATTATCAAATATAATTTTAACTTCGGAAAATTAATTTGACGTTTATATAAACAAAATTATAAAAAATGAGAAATTAATGTGAAAGGTGTGTCAACTAATGCGCCTGTAAACCTATTTAAAAACAAATATTTTTTTTTTTAATTGATCAATTACCAAATCTACATTAGTGTTTTAATTTAGAGTGTTAAACTGTAGTCAAAAATGTTACTTGTTTTGAATAGAATCATTAAAAAAAAAGCATTAACTGCAACATCATATAAATTTTTATGATATTTTTAATTTCGTTAAATTACAATGAAATAATTAATTAGCTAAAACTATCAAATTTTTTTTTTTAGTCCTAGTTTTAAAACTCTTAGCCGCCCCTTGATTGTTTCTTATTTAATTAATGTCTAACAAAATTTTGTAAACCTTTATTTTTTTTGAAAATTTATTTATTGCCTTTTTTTTCTTTTATAATTTTTCCTGACTCATCGAAATTTAAAAAAGAAACTGATATCAAAGTCAACCTTTTTTGAAAATGAACCGCTCTAAATATTTGAAATAAACTAATTTTGAACATGAGATTATTACGACAAGTCGCATAATTAATATTTTTTAAAAAATTTATATGATTTCAAGCACTAATTACACATACGAAATATAATAGTTACTGTTGTATTAGCAGTTAAAAAGGCCAGAGATTTTTATGTTATATTTATGTTATATTTATGATTCAAGAATTTTTCAAATTATTTAAATATATATGAATGGAGATTTCAAAAAATTGAATGATAATTCTTTCGCTTTAAAAAAATTTTTTCTAAAGACATTAAAACGTTTATGACATTTATTGCCGCATTATGGCGAGATGCATTATGCCTGATCTAAGCCACAGTTGTCTGTTATTAAATAAAATTTAATTATAAAACAAAAGGGGATTATTCATTTTTAAATTACGCTACAACGCAATTTAAAAGTTAAATTTTTCTAACATCACATTCAACCCTAAATAAAAATATACATAAAAAAGCAAAATTTCAAATGCTTTTTTTGAGTTTTATATACTATATTTAGTTCAAAATTAAATAAATATATCTTTAATTAAATAAATATATATACGTAATCGTAAAATAGTTTGTCGTAAATAAAATACGAATTGTAAAGATTTTTTTCAAAATTAGTAAAAGTGTGATAAATAAATAAATATCACAAAATTAATAGAAACTTCACAAAGTAAAGTTCGATTTAGAAAAGGTTCGAATAAAGAAAGTTTGACTGTTTGATAAGTACCTATATTAAAAATTTAGTTGTCATAATTTTTCTGAAAAATTTATAAATATTAGTATAACAACAGTTAGGGATTTCTGTTATTCCAATATATATTATAAAAGGAACTTATTCACAATATTAATACTTATTTTTATCAATATAATAAAATAAATTTGAACAAATAGTTTTAGATTCTCATGTCATTCTTAGAAATTGATGAAATTTTAATGCTTTAGCTCAAAAGAAGTACATTTTGGACACAGAATTTTATAGTAAAATAATTACATTTTTATTAATAATGAAATGATTGATCAAAATATTTAAAATATAATTTTGAATTTTAATTGTTTTAACAAAAATTGAAATAAGTTTACTGGCCAACAAAAACTTTTAAATATAATTTCTTTTTATTTTATTATTTAAAAAAAAAAAAATTCTAATAATATTTTTTTTCTCTTGTTTTTTTGTTTGTTTTTGTTTTTATTTTTTTTTCAAGCTATTTAAAGTCAACCAGTTTTTCTCTTCTGCTTATTATCGTTTCAGATGTTTTTGATAAAATTTAATATAAAAAAAAACATTTTTTTTTTTTGCATAAAAAGCGAATTGAATGAATAAAATCGAAGAAAAAAAAAAGAAAAAAAAAGAAATGGTTAGGATTATTAATTTTTATGCTATATTTATTATTATTAATCATTTGACTAAAAATAATAAAATTTTTTCATATTAAAAAGAAAAATTAATGCATTTTACTAGAAAAATAATATTGATTGAAAAACAGGTGACCTTGATTAAAAGGTCCAGCCGGTATTTATTATTTATAGAAAAGATTTTAATAAAAGTTTTCAAAATTTTTCAAATGCATTACAAATTCTGTTTGAATTGAATTTTCTTTTTTCAAAATAATAAAATTAATTCAGTCATTTACACGTCATATTACAATATTTTAGTTACCCGTTTACACTTAAAAATTTTGTAATTGGAGATATTTAAATCGAAAAATAAATTATATTTTTCTATAAATGTATTAATTTTTTTTTAAAATTATAAAAAACAAAAAAAATAATAAAAAATGAAAACATTTTTTAATAATTTATTTTTTTAACCGACGTCCATCATTTTTTTTCTTCTGTTTTCTCTCTTACTTTCAGAATGTAAAAAAAAAAAAATAATATTAAATTATTGGATTTTTGCTACTTGCAAAACAAGAATAATCAAAAATAATTTTTATTATTTAGATTATAGAAAATTAATAATAAAATGAACAAATATGTGCAATGTTAGTATTAATATAATTTTTATTTTTTTTTTATTTCTTTTTCATTATTTTAGTAAATTTTTTAATTAATTTATTATAAACAAAAATTTAATATATAATTTCTATATATTAAAAAAATTTATATTAAATTGGTTGGTTTTTAAGGTTTAATTTTCAATTAAAATTTTTTTTATTAAGCTAATAGAATATTGTAATAATAAAAAGAAATTAATTATTTATTGTAATTGCAATATTTTTAGTTGCTCATAATAATTGTTCTTAAAAAAATATGGATTCATTTGAATAAAGTTAATAAAAATCATTTGCTCACAGTAAAGCATCATATTACAAAAATATCAAATGTTTTAATATTATCTGAAATTTCATATTAAAATTAATAAAATTCTATTCCTTCAATTTCTTGTTCGAATAAGTTTATGTTTTAAAAATACTTTCATTTATTTGCAGTTTCATATATAATAATTGTAATATTTAGAAAATTTTATGAATCCATAAATTATCACAATTTCACTAGAAGTGTATTTTCATTATATTGTATGGATTTATTTTTTTTTGATAAAATATTTTTTTTAAACTAATTCGAAATTATTTTGATCAAATTTAATTGCTGTAGTAATTTTTGGTTAATGCGATTTAATTGCTAAGCTAAAAAATATTTATTTGAAAATTATTCCTTAATATAATTTTTTTTTTTTTGTTATATTTTTTTTTTCTTTGGGGAAACTGCTTTGAAACTGCTTTTAAGCATCATATAAATGGTTGGTTGAACGTTAAAAGAGAAAAAAATGTATACCATATTAGAATTGATTGTATGTTTAATTTTTCCACTTGACTCAACGGTTCTCTGGATATATTTTAATTGATATTTGTTCTTACTATTGCTGACTGAAAAATTGACGAGATTGAAAAAAGATTGGAAAGAAAAATGATTAAAATCAAAATAATTTTATTCTTGTTTTATTCTCTTTTTTCAGGATTTTTTTATATAATTTTAAATAAACAAAACAGTAAATCATAAATTATTTTTTTTTTTTGTTTTGCAAAAAAGGTTCTGTATTTTAAATGCTGTGGGAATAATAGCAAATTTGTTAGGTTTCATTTCAGTACGAATTTTGCTCTACATGTTATAAGAAGAAATATGTTTTATTTAATTTGTTTTTTGATGGTTGACAAAAAATTTATAAAGTCATCGCGCATTTTATAAAAAAATTGTTTATTCCGTTTAGCTTTAGATATTAGGGTTTTTAAAATAGAAAGAATTAGACTAGTCAAATTGTTAATCTTAGTAAAATCTTTACATACTTTACGTATCTTTACTTTTACATATTTTTTAATATATTAGAAGTTAGAATAACACTAAAGAAAGATTTCATTTGTTTGGGCAAGATTTTATGCTGTTTGAACATTTAGAACAAAATTTTGCATGGAATCCCGTTTAATTAATATTATTGCTTTTTTTTTGAAAATGATTTATTGTATAAAATATAACAATTATAGATGAAGATTTTCAAATAACAATCACTAGTGAATATGTAAAAAATCCTAGAAATCTTTACCATTTTAAAATTTGTGATATAGAAGAAGGCGAAAAAAAATATAATTTATATCAAATAATTGAAAAAATAATCTTAATTTCTTAGTTCTTATTAAAAGTATGAATAACTTATATTTAAAAAAATCATTAGAATAAATTACATTAAATACATTAAATCCTTTTTTGTAACTAGATCATAATATTTAATAGTTTACTGAATATAAAATTTGGGTTTAAGTAATTTTTAACTTTCAGCTACGAAAATATTTTATTTTATATTTTCGTGCATATATCATAAGTGAATACAGTTGATTTTAAAATATAAACTTGTGGCAAAAAATACTTTTATTTTTTTTTATTTTTGGAGATAAATGATTTATGTAATTCAGAGAGTTTATTCGTACACTGCAACCTTAAAGTTTTTTAAAATTGAAATAATTTTTTTTTTTTAATTTTTGTGTTAAGATATTTGTGTTTTGTGTTAGATTGCTTTTAAAGTTTAAAAAAAAAAAAACTTTGAAAAAAAATATTAAAAAAAAAAATAATGATTAAAAGTTAAAAGCATTCTATCCATTTGATTGGTGACGATAATGTCTTTTTTTCCTTAAAAACATAAAATATGTTATCGGTCGAGTGTGTTCTGACATCGATTTGCTCTTATTAAAAATATCTGCTAAATAAATATTTAAAAGATTATTAAAAATATTTCCATTTTTATATGTTTTTAAATTTTAAAATTAATAAAATTTAAAAACATTTTTTTTTCATTTGATTGTTTGAAAAAAAAAACTCTAACCGAAAAAAAACGTCATTATCGTCAACAGTTCAAATGGAAGATGTCAAAGGCAGTGCCGAATTGAATGCAGCAATATTAGCAGCAGCCTCACATCAACAGCAACAGACAACACAAATTCAAGCTCATATACAAAGTACTTCTTCACAACAGCAACAACAGCAACAGCAAGCTCAACCACAAATTATTACTTTACAGCAGTTACAAAATATATTGTCTCAGCAGGCTATGGCAGCTGCTGCAGCTAACACAACTACGGCCGGAACAAGTGCATCAGGAACGACAGCTTCAGCTGAAGCAATATCAAATGGACAAAATTCTGGTGGTATAAAGATAGACCCAATAAAATTTGAAAATATTCAAATACAACATCAGCCACAACAGCAAACTCAACAAGTGTTAAACATACAAAATTTACAAAGTCTGCAAAATTTACAAAATTTGCAAAATCTACAAGCTGCTGCAGCAGCTGGAATACCGCAGCAATTTATTCAGGGAGGACAAATAATACAAGCAGCTGCGCCAAATACTGGTATACCATCTAATGGAATGTTTCAAATGGTTCAGCCATTGCAAACAATTAATATCGATGGGCAAGAAGCACTGTTTATTCCGAATGTGTCGAGTCCGCAAATTCCAGCTGGTTCTCAAGCTATACAAATAAATGGTCAGCAAGCATTTTTAACACCTCAAGGACAAATAATCAAGGCACCGCAAATTGCGGCAACCCCACAAATTCTTCCAGCACAACTTATACAAAATATTCCACAAACAGTTCAACTTCCAAATGGGCAAACAATACAAATTAGACCACAAAACACAATGCCAAATGTTGTACAATTTCCGATGCCAACACAGACAATCCCTGTTCAAGTACCAATACAGAACGTTAATGGGCAAACCATTTATCAAACAGTTCAAGTTCCATTGCAGGCATTAAGCGGATCAATGCCAGGAATTATTCAGCAACCTCAACAAATGCAAATAATTCCGCAATTTGCACAAGTTGCGAATATAATAACTCCATCAGGTCAAATCCAACAAGTTCAACTAGCCCCTCTTAATCCTATGTTACATGCTGCCGCGGCTGCTGGTAGTTTACCTTCAAATGTAATTCTCCAACAAGCTACACAAAATTTGTCGCAAAATGAACAACCGTCAACCTCTAATATAAGTCAGAGTACTAATTTAGCAGGACAAGTACAGCAACAATCAGCAAACAGTCAAGCTACTCATAACAGTTCGGCGCAGGAATCACAGAATCAAACACAAATACATTCAGTGCAACCAATAACCATTACCAACGCTCAAGGCCAACAGATTACTGTGATTCCGACGCAAGCATTACAACAGTCATTTAGACCGGCCTTGACAAATCCTACAGCTAATATTATACAGATGCCAACAATTTCAGGTTTGCAAACACTGCCAGTACAAAATATTCCAGGAATAGGAAATGTTCAAGTGATACAGGTTAATCCAATTGGACAGCAAATACAAAATAATCCAAGTTCTTCACAGTCTGTGGTAGCTACTGCACAGAATCCTACATCAACAACTGTCCAAACATCTACAGGTAGCGGGATTGCACCTTTGATTACAAGTATAAAAGCCGAACCACAAGATATTAAATGGATTCAACACCATATAATTGCCCAACCGCAAACACAAGCTCAGTCCCAAAGTCAAACTCATCAGACAACTACACAGCAGCATCAACATGCACAACAAACACCACAACAAACTCAAACACAGCAACATGTTGCGACACAACAACAAATTCAGCAACAACAGCAGCATCAGCATCAATCCCAGCAGCAACAGCAACAACAGCAGCAGCAACAACAGCAACAGCAGCAACAACAGCAACAGCAGCAACAACAACAACAGCAGCAACAGCAGCAGCAACATCAGCAAATACAACAAACTCCAAAATTTTCAACACAACTCCATCAATTAAAATCTCCACAAACTCAACAAAAAATTGTTGCTGTATCTCAGCCAGCAACTCAAATAGTGTCAATACCAACAACAATTTCTATAAATCAACCTGCTCAAACAACTCAAACAACAACAGTTTTAGGCTCAATTCAAGCAGCTGCCCCAATTCAAGTTCAACCACAAAACACATCAAATCAGCAACAACAAAATTTTAGTACGCCAGCCTCTGGGGCGCCGCATGGCCCTAATCAAACGTCGATAAATGTTAATATAAATGTTAATGATGGGAGTGAAGTGAAGCAACGTGTCAAAAGAGTAGCTTGTACATGTCCAAACTGTACAACGGGTGAAAAGCATACAGATCGGAAAAAACAACATATCTGTCATATTCCTGGGTGTAATAAGGTTTATGGTAAAACATCTCATTTAAGGGCACATTTAAGATGGCATACAGGTGAGAAACCATTTGTCTGCTCTTGGTTATTTTGTGGAAAAAGGTTTACAAGATCAGATGAACTACAAAGACATCGAAGGACACATACAGGTGAAAAACGATTTCAATGTACACAATGTACAAAGAAATTTATGCGTAGTGATCATTTGTCAAAACATGTAAAAACACATTATAAAACGCGTCATGCGTATGAACCAATTAAGGCGGAAATTAAAACTGAAGAAATTATTTTACAAGATGATACAGAAAGTTTTAATTCACAGAGTGAACAAGATTTAAATTCGGATACAGTACAGGTGCAACAAAATACATTAAATGGTCAAAATCCAACAAATACTATTGTTATATCAATAGCAGGACAACAGCCAACATCGACATTAACACCACCAGTTTTTACAAAAATAAATTTAAAAAAATCAACGTTAAATACATCCGTAATTGATCAAACAACGTAAAATAATTAAAAAATGATAAAAAAAAATTTATGAAATTAAAATTAATTTTAAATTATATAAATTATAGATATAAAAAATTATTTAAAACAAAAGAAAAAGAAAAAAAAACAAATCAATTAAGTTAAAAAAAATTATTATAAAAGAAGAAAATTACGTACTTTTTGGAAAAGTAAACATTCTTTATATTATAAATAACAGTTAGTATGCAATTTTAGTGAATATTTATACTCTAATTAGTCAGTCAATATTTTCAATCGCGATATATGACAGAAGAAAATGAAAGTAGAATAGAAATCGATCGTACCATTTATATTAAACATGCCATAATTATTTATTTCCCACGTTTATTTCCAATTATATAAGATATAAAAATACTAGAATAATTAAGGATTTCAATTCTATAGATTGAGGTTACCTCCTAATTAAAATTCATTATTAGGTGACGATGTTGACGAAAAAAAGTTATTAGATAATATATTTATAGCAAAATTTTTTTTTGTTTTTTCACTTCAATTATATAAGTTTGTAGAATTTTTTTTCAGTAAAAAATGTACTTTCACTGACGTGCTTTTTTATGATAATATTATTAACATTTCAATAAAATTCTTGTTTTTATCGTTATATTCTAATATTTTCATTGCTTCGAAGTTTTGTTAACATTCGAAGTTTATAAATAACATTGTTAAGTTTCGGAAGATCGAGCCGACCGTGATATGTTTTCAAAATAATATCTTTTATATAAAATTTTTTGTATATAAAATGTTTTGAATTTTAGTTACAATTAAAATTATCATTCTAATTAAATAATTAAATGGAATGCAAAAATTACTTAAAATATTTTAAATTTTGTATATAATTAGTTTAGAAATTGGTATCAAACACAATGTTACAAGCGTTTAGCTATTCGAAAATGAAAATTGATTTCCCTTTTGAAATTTTCCAATACTTCCATATTACTATGTAGTGTACTATACTTAAATTATCTTTTACAATGAAATAAATACTGGCTAGCTAGTAATATGAATTCATTACACATTGTATACTATAATTGTCATATAATACATGAATATAAATATTTATGTATATAACATGTGCATATTTTTATGCACATAAATGTCAACATAAATTTTATTTATTTTTATGTATATATATACGTATAATATACGTATATTTTTATGTAATAGTATATATTATATTCATATATCCAAGTATATTAAAAATTTATTTGTATTAAAAAAAAAATAAAAATTTAATTATTTTTAAATTTGATTATTTGATTAAAAATGTTAATTATAAATAGTAGTAAGGCAAAAAAAAAGAAAAAAAAGTTATTTAAATCTATTTTAAATTTTTATTTTTTATTATTTCGAGGCGAAAATGAATACATATATAATATATATTTTATATTATTAAATGAAAAAAAAGCATTTTTAATATTTTTAATGAAATTTATTTATTTACCAAACAGCATTTAATCATGCAGAAATTTATGTTTATTTTAAATATGTTTAATTTAAGTTATTTTATCATATTCTTTTTAAATTATTTCGACTAAGATATAATTTACTTTCGTGCTGCTGCTTTTTAAAATTTCAATGAAAAGAGAATGTCGAGAAAGTCTAATAGTTGAATTTTTAAGTGAAACTTATTATTTACACATTATTTATCGTGCTTAGAAATTATTAATAATATTTAATAATAAATATTATTATACTCTGTTTGTGGTATATAGATAGGAATCATGTATTTTCAATTTAAAAATTCAATCAGTCCTATAATATTTTATTTAAGAATAAAAAAACAACTATTTTTTTCCTATTGAATATTCATATAAGTGGAACTATTTTTGTATATTTTATTGAAATTTATTTCCTATTATCGATTTTCAATTCAAGTATTTTTTTTTATATAAAAATAAAACATAAAAATAAAAGTGAAACAAATTTTAAGATTAACAACACCATTTTAATATTGTCTTTATTCAATATAATATTAGCTGTAATAAAGCTTGTTTTATTCAATTTTTTTCTTATATTGAATTCCTACTGTTCTGTTTTTTTTTCTTGTTCTTTTTGTCAAATTTACAAAAGGTTAATATTAAAATAGAAAAACAGAGCACAAGAACGAAAACAAAAAGAATAAAAAATTAAAAATCAATACTAATTATTCTTAAAAAGAAAGTTACTTAAAAGTAGAAAAATTATTGATTTTTTTTTATGTAAATTTATGTTTACAAAAATTTTGTCGTTGCAGTCCAATTGCAGTTTAATATTCTCAGTACATATTGTAAACTGATTGATTGATCCTTGTTAAAAGTTATAAAATTTTAATATTAAAGCCGATACAACCTTTTATGTTCTTTTCTGTACAAAATTAAAAATTTTGTAATGATTATTAAAATTTAAAATAATTATTAAAAAAACTTAATAATTAAATTTTAAAGTATTTAGCAATAGATTGCTCCACTTTTTGTTAACACCATCAAATGCTAGATTCTTAACAATTAAAGTGCAAATAATAAAATGTTATGTTGGAAAATGTTGGAAAAATACTATTTATATATTTGGTTTTCATCGAAAATTTTAAATAGAAATTCAAAAATAACCATTAATATACAGGAATTTACCTTGGCATATATGTTTATCCAAAAAGAAAATAATCAAATAAAGCTACTTAAATTTCTATTTTTATACATATTAGAGTTGTGAAATTTTCGGTGGTACTCATGATAATTAATTACTGTTTAATTGAGAAATTATTATAGAATTGAATTCACTCTTAATTAACAAAATAGATTCATTTTAATTTTAGTAAATTCCTTTCAACTACTATCAGTTGTCTTAAGAAACATGCGTACAAATATATTATTTATAAAAAGATTGTAGGCAATTTATTATGCAGATCACAAATATAACTATAATATAAATATAATATGATCAATTAAGCACACAATTTTTCAAATAATTTAATAATTTTGTTTGGAGTCTTCTAAATTTTCCTATAAACTCTCAAATCAGAATATATTTTATACTTGGTATTAAAAATATGTACGGTAACATATAATGAAAAAAAAAATTGAAAATCCTTTATATTTTTTTTTTTTTTCATCTTTTTTTTTATTTGTTTTTCTTCTTGTTTTTTATTAAATTTTATTAGTCTTCCATACACCACCGAGCTCTAACAATTGCTAAAAAAAAAATTCAAGCTATATTATTTGATTTAATAAATTTTAAAAATGAAATTGCAAATAGAATTCCATGAATAAGATAAAAAAAAATATAAAATAAAAAATAAGTAAATGTGTTTACATGTTTTGAGAATAAAAAAAAAAATATGCGACATCACAGGAATCATGTAAGATTTAAATCTGAAAATGGTAAAATAATAATTAATATAACGTTTTTTTAATATTCTTTTTTTTTTTTATTTCATCTTTTTCTCTCTGGGGTGTTTTCTTTTTCTCAATTTTGGTATTTTTTTTTTAATTCAATCTCCGTTTTTTAAATGAAATAAAACGTTTAAAAATACCATTTACAGGAAGTTTGTCAACCATCAAAATCTATTAAAACATTGTATATATAAATGTATATATTTATTTAACCCTTAAGTTATGCAGTAGAATTTGATTTTGTATATTTAGAAAAAAAATTCTTTATTAATAATAAAATTTTATTTAATTTATAATTTCAAATTATATTTGTGCAGTGTCCGGAAATGCGGAAATTTTATTTTCGCGTAAATTAAGTGAATCCGTATATATAAATATATAAACATATATAAATGTATATTATATTCATTTTCCATATCTATGAAAAAATTGAAGCGAATAATAAAATCAATAAATTCTATATGTAACATTATATGTACATATGTATAGAGATATCGAAATATCAAGATAGTAGATGCATAATATGAAATTATAATGAGATATATTCGTAAGGTGCAGTGTGTGCTATTTATTGTTATTAACTTTTTTTTTTATTAATAATAAAATCAGCGCAATGAAATATAAAAATGTGGTACGCAAGTGTGTATCACATTTATTGTTACATGTAGATTAAACAACCAAAATAAATTTTATTCGTTTATTTTTCTTTAAAGAAATTTTATATTCTATCTATAATATTTCAATTTCGGTTTGTTTATAATGTAACAATAGCTGCCTGCCTCTAAATCACAATTTTCTAAATTAAAAGACAATTTTCGGAACATGTTTTTAAAACACAAGAATCAATTGCCAAATGTGACTCGAAATATATGAAAAAAACAAAAAAATTTTAAATTGTTTATAGAAAATTGTAAAAATGCAAAGCTAATTTTTGAAAAAGGTAAAAGTAAATTCACCTGTTTATGCTACTTAAGGGTTAACATGTAAATTTTTATACATATATAAATAAAATTTTCATTTTCTTTATCATATATATATATATTTTTTTTTTTATTTTTTGTTTATAAAATTTGAAAACTTTTTATTTTATTCAGAATCTATAAAGGATATATAAAGCTACAGAATTCGAATGCAATCCAAAAAAAAAAAAAAAAAAAAATTAAACATAAATTTTATAAATAAAAATTTTAAAAAATTTCAGCTTCAAAATGGAAGGGATACTCTTAATCTGCTAGTACACCAAAAAAAAAAAATTACAAAAAAGAAAAAAAATTCTTTTCGTTTTCCTTTTTTTTGTTTATTTTTTTCTTTTGTTTTACAAAAAAAATTTTTCATATTTTTAAATTAAAATTTTTAGGAAAATCTTCTGCTTGGGAACCGAAAATTCCTTTTTTGTCTCATCCAATTTATGATCTTAAGCAAACTGGTGATGTAAAATTTGGTCCAGGTACCCGTTCTGTTTTGCTGGGATTATTAGGCGGTGCATTACCAAAATTGAGCAGTGATCAATATGACACGGTTACCAGAGCTAAAAAATATGCAATGGAACAGAGTATTAAAATGGTTTTAATGAAACAGACATTAGCACATCAACAACAGGTTTAAACAAATCAATAATTTTTTATTTTTTTGTATATTTTTATAAAATTTTATTGTTGACATTTATAAATAAGTACATTAAGTTGATATAAATAATTGTTAAAATTTTATAAAAAAAAATTTTAAAAAAATTTTTATGTAATAAAAAAATATTAATGTTCATTTTTTTTTTTACATGGAAATTATAGCAATTGGCAAGTCAGAGGACACAAGTTCAAAGGCAACAAGCTTTGGCACTAATGTGCAGGTTAGTTTTTATGAATAATTATTGAAACTTGAAATTTGAGTTACAACTTTTAATTATAGATTTATATTATATAAACTAGAAATAATTATAAAAAGTATTTAAAAATGATGTGAAAATATAAAATGATTTTTTTTTGTGGATTGAATTACAATTTTGAGTTAATGAAATTGTTTATTTTATTTTTGTCAATTTACAAATTGAAAATGATTTAATTTCTTGCTGATAAGATCTGATTTTTATTGAAATATTTAAATGGAAATTAAATAACTTTTACTTTTTTATTTTATAATAATTTTCCATTTTTTAGAGTGTATGTTGGTAGTATATCATTCGAACTAAAGGAAGATACTATAAGACAAGCGTTTTTACCATTTGGACCTATAAAATCAATTAATATGTCGTGGGATCCGATAACTCAAAAACATAAAGGATTTGCTTTTGTTGAATATGAAATACCAGAAGGTGCTCAGTTAGCCCTTGAACAAATGAATGGAGCTTTAATGGGTGGCAGAAATATTAAAGTAATTTTGCTTATTTTGTGTATATTTTATTTTGATTTTTATTTTATCTATATAAAATGCATATCTTATATTACCTATTTTGCTTTCATCTTTTAAATAAGAGCAAGCCGTTGAACATTTTTTTTTGACGAAAATTTTTTTTTGTTAACAATTTGATATAGGTTGGACGTCCTAGCAATATGCCCCAGGCGCAGCAGGTGATTGACGAAATTCAAGAAGAAGCTAAAGGTTATAACCGTATATATGTTTCATCGATTCATCCTGATTTATCTGAAGAGGATATTAAGAGTGTTTTCGAAGCTTTTGGTCCTATAATGTATTGTAAATTGGCGCAAGGCACATCAGTTCATTCTCATAAAGGTTATGGGTTCATTGAATATGCTAATAAACAAGCAATGGATGAAGCTATTAATAGTATGAACTTGTTTGATCTTGGTGGTCAACTTCTAAGGTATATTGTACTAGGAAAATAACTTGTATTAAAATAAGTATTTTTCAATCTTAAATTATATTTTTTCAGAGTTGGTCGCTCAATAACCCCACCTAATGCTCTAATGGGTCCTTCTAGCAATTCAACAATGCCTACAGCCGCGGCGGTTGCTGCTGCTGCAGCAACAGCAAAAATTCAGGCAATGGATGCTGTAGCTAGTACAGCTGTTTTGGGATTATCTGCTACAGCTCCAACTGTTCTTCCTGCTCTAGCGAATGTAATACCAAAAGCTTTGCCTGTTTTAACTGGTGCAGTTGGATCTGCTGGTCTTCCTCCACCTGGAATAGCTGTACCGACCCCAGTTGGATTGTTAAATCCACCATCAGTTGTTAA